TTTCCCCTCACCTACTCAGGTTTACTATCATTTCTACCACTGTAATAAGTTTCTCCCTGTTAGGGAAAAAACTGACCCAGAATAGAATTTCCCCTTATTGGTTTCTCCATCTTTTAAGGATGACAAGAAGTTATTAGCTGTTCTGCTTTGGGGAAAGAGAGAGAGTTCCAGCAGATGTTATAATAATTGAAGTCCCTTATCACTACTTTATCATATCTCTGTGCTAGACTTGTGATGTTCCCCAAACTCCTCATTTATTTCTTCTCTTCTGTCTAGGTAGTTGTTGGTATACTCCAGTGATAAAGTCACTTTGTTTCTCCCTCCTTTGACCTTCACCAAATACTCTCTATCATGCTGGTTCTTGTATTTCCATCTTCTTAATATACAGTACTATCCCATCCTCCCCATCTACTTACTCTTTTTCTTTTGAATAAGGTAAACCTACATCCAGAGCCACAGTCCAGTCATATGGATCATCCCGCCAAGTTTCCATGATACCTAAGAGGTTAAATTTGCCTCCTTGCACTACTATCTCTAGTTATTGTTACCTATATCAGAGCAAGAATCCTATCTAACTTCACTCTGGACCACAATGGTTTCAGGTGAGTCAGTTACTGTTGGCTAAGACAAGAGGAGACATTTGCTTCAAGAGCAACAGTTCTTCATTCCTAGATACTTTTTCCTACCAAAGAATAACTTGGAGGAAAGGAGAGAAGTGGTACAAATCTTCTAGGTGTCTCCTAATTTTGTTTGTTCTTGTGGTAATTTCCAGGGCCCTTTATTAAATGACATAAACACCCACTGTACAAAGAACAATTTTTTTCATTATTCATTTTCTTTACATTCCTCAGCATCTAACTAATCTGCTTTGGTTTTTTGGTATGGCAAATTTAAAAGCAAATATCCACAACTGGGCAAGCAACTTTAACCTCAACTGGGTCTTCACTTGTGTGGAAATCCTTTTATCCATTTCATACTGACTCCCTATCACTTTCCTCAAAGCAGTTGCTCCAAACCTCCTTCTCTCCTTAAGCTCCAACTTACCTCCCGACCCCTTCAACTCATCACTCCCCTCCTCTCAGCAAATCACTTTATCTCCTATTTCACTGGGAAAACCCAGGTCTTCTGACATAAGTAGAGCTAACTCCTCAACCCCTTGATTCCTATCCCCTCTAGTCATTGGAACTTGCTTAGTTGATCAACAATCTAATAAAAATAAACCCTTCATTGGCCCTACTGCCCCCACAAGCTATCTTCTCATCTCATCTTCCCTCCCCAAACTTTTTTAGCCAGAGTAGTTTATTTCCCCAACTAGTGCTTCTTCATTTACTACTACACTCTTCCAACCACCTACAATCTGGCTTACATTCTCAATCCTCTCACTGGTATTATTCTCTCTTAGGTCACCAATAAACTTAAATTTTTTTCTCAATTACATGCAAAAACAATTTTTAATATTCATTTTTTAAAATTTTGAGTTCCAAATTATCTCTGCCCCTCTATTCCTCCCTCCTTGAGAAGACAAGCAATTTGATATAGATTATACAGTGCAGCCATGCAAAACAGATTTCCATATTAGTTATATTATAAAAGAAAATAAAGGCAAAAAAACCTCACAACAATCCAGAAAAATAAAGAATAAAAAAGTATGATTTGAACCGTATTTAGACTTCATCAGTTCTTTCTCTGGAGGTATATAGTATTTTTCATCATAAGTCCTTTGGAATTGTCATGGATCATTGTATTGTAGAGAAGAGCTAAATCATTCATAGTTGATCATCAGACAATACTGCTGTTACTGTGTACAATGGTCTCCTGGTTCTGCTCACTTCACTGTGCATCAGTTCATATAAGGCTTTCCAGGTTTTTTCTGAAACCACCCTGCTTGTCATTTCTTATAGCACAATAGTATTTCATCACAATCATAAACCACAACTTGTTCAGCCATTCCCAATTGCTACCACAAAAAGAGCTGCTATAAATATTTTGGTACATATAGGTCCTTTTCCTTTTCCTTTGATCTTTTTGTGTTACAGACCCAGTAGTGGTATTGCTGGACCAAAAAGCAACTTTAACCTCAACTGGGTCTTCACTTGAGTGGCATCACTCTTTTGGGCATAGTTCTGAATTGCTCTCTAGAATGGCTGGACCAGTGCACAACTCCACCAACAGTGCATTAGTGTTCCAATTTTTCCACACTCCCTCCAGTATTTGTCATTTTCCTTTTCTGTCATGTCAGTTAATCTGATAGGTGTGAGGTAGAGTCTCATTTGTTTTAATTTGTATTTCTCAACAGTGATTTAGTGCATTTCTTCATATGACTATAGATAGCTTTGATTTCTTCTTCTGAAAACTGCCTGTTTATATCCTTTGACAATTTATCAGTCAGGGAATGACTCATATTCTTATAAATTTGACTTAGTTGTCTATATATTTGAGGAATTAGGCCTTTATCAAAGAAACTATCAATAACCTTTTAATTGTCAATGCCAATAACTTTTTCTCAGTCCTTATCCCTCCTTGACTCTTCTGCAACTTTAGATACTGTAAACTCTTCCCTCCTACCCTTTCCTCTCTTGGCTTCTGTGACTCTCCTCTTTTCTGGCTCTTTTCCAGGTTTTCTGACCAAAGTCCTAAGCTAGTTAGTTCTTCATCTTTCTGCCACTACCTATGGATGAACATTCCTCAAAGCTCTGTCCTTCAGCTTCCCTTCCCATACTCCTGCAGGGTGATCTCTTCTGTTCCCAACGGTGTAACAATCACATGTAACCTCATGTTCCAGTGGTGTAATCATCACATGAGATGATTCTCAAATCGAAATATCTAGCTCTAATTTTTCCCCTGTGCTCCAGTTCTCCATCTGGCTGCCTGGACAGCTTCACTTGATTGTTGCACCGGCACCTCAAGCTCAACATGTCCAAAACATAACCATACATCTCTCTTCTTCCCTTCAAAAATCCCAGATTCCCTATTTCTACTAAGAGTACTATCATCCTCCCAGTTACCCAGATTCAAAATCTATCATATTTGCCTCTTCCCTTTCCCTCATTCCCTCACATCGAGTCAATTGCCATATTCTGTCAATTCTTCCTCCACAACATCTGTCCCATCTGCTCCACTTGCTCAGCCATTTCCCTTCCTTGACCTTTCGGTCAAGGCCTTGCAGATCTCATCTGGACTACTGCAATAGCCTACTAACTCTTCCCTCTTAAATATACCCTTGACACACCTACTGAAGTAATCTAGGGCACAGGTTTGACCATATTACTTCTAGGTAAATCTACACTAGTTGTTCTTCTGACTCAACATGACATCTCTCTCAATGCGTTTGCACAGGCTATCTTTCATGCCAAAAATGGTACTCTCCTTATTTCTGTCTTTTAGAATCCTTATCTTCTTTTGAGGCTCAGCACTTGTGCTACCTTATCTGTGAAGCCTTTCATGAATCAAACCTGTAAGCATTCTCTTCTTTTGCCTCACTATTTCTCAGATAGAATACAGAGTCTTCAGAACAGCATTTAAGACCCTCTCCAGTCTGACTTTTACCTTTCTAGCCTCAGTTCATATTACAGCCCTTTATGAATTGTACATTCCAGCTAGACCAGATAGCCATTTCCTGAACTCAGTAGTTTATCTCCTGCCTCTATGGATTCACACAGACTATCTCACTTGCTTGGGATGCACTTCTTCCTCATCTTTGCCTCTCAGAATTCTTGCCTTTTTTTTTTTTGGCCTTTTTGGTAAGGCAATCAGGGTTAAGTGACTTGCCCAGGGTCACACAGCTAATAAGTGTCATGTATCTGAGGCCAGATTTGATCTCACGTCCTTCTGACGCTAAGGCCAGAGCTTATCCACTGCGCCACCTAGCTGCCCTCTTGTCTTCCTTCAAAACTCAGTTCAGTGACCTCCTCCCCTGTAGGGCTTTTCTGATCACTACCCCTATGCAGTTTGCCTTACATTTTTATTAACGTGAAAATTATTTCTCCCAGCAGAATGTAAGTTCGTTGTGGGCAGGGACTTTTGCTTTGGTCATTGTATCCCCAGCACCTAGCACTAGAGTTGGCATAGAGTAGATAGTTAAATGTTCGTTGAACTGAATTGTATCTATTTCACCCCTCTCTCCTCTGCTTGAAGTTAGAGACTATGGTATTTTTTATCTTTTCATCACTGGTGCCTAGAATGGTCAACGTAGTGGCTCTTAGGTTAATGTGTTAAAATGAAAAATTGCCATATTAGATTATTTTGAGTGAAAGGTCTCTTATTTTCAAAAACATCAACATTTCTTTATGACTGAATAAATTCTGCCTCTGTAAGACATTGACAAATATATTCTGCTCCTTTGCCTGGGGGGAGAAAGCCTATAACAGACTCTCGGAAAAGCTGGACTGTCAGATGCACATTTTCCTTATAGCCACCTCCCTATTGACTGATAGGAAATTTACTGTAACAAAGAGTTTCTACTTTACAGTTGTTTTTAGAAAGCTTTTTTGTTCTTGACATCTTTTTTTTTTGTATAGTGCAATATTTTCGGTGCTCTGTGTGCTTGGTTTATTAAAAGTAAGCTACAAAACTTCACTTTTATTTTGTTCTCATTTAAACTCAGAAGTAAGACATGATTAAAATAATAATAATAATCTGACAGGCTCCTTGACTAATAATTAATGCTTCTCTTTGGCTCACTCTTTCCATTTGTCCAGTCATCCATCTCTTCCACTCTCGTGGTCATTGTAACTGTTTCCCTTACACTGTAGCATCATACCTCCTATACCTCTCTCCTCTCTTCTGAATTCATCTACAAAAACTAAAAATGTTCCCCCCTTCTACTGACTTATTTTTTTAATGTCCCTTTCTGGAAGTTGATACGAATCATTTAAACCCATCACTGAGGAAATACAATTGAATATAGATTTAGGTGCCATTTGCTGTGAGTCATTTTGCATAGCAATATTTTAGTATTGTACTAATAATGTAATCATGTACTAATGTACAGAGCTACTTACCCACAATTCCTTCTGCGCCATCTGTTTCCTTTGGTATATAGTACATCGAAAGATCACTCTGAAGGACTTCGTCTGATGTTGCTCTGGCTAAAGCAGCAGCCAAAAAGGAAGGGCAATTACTGAAAAAGATAAAGGGAAGGCAGTTTTCAGCAAGAGTTAATAAAGCAGTGAATTTCATATAAAGCTGAGGTCATTTCAAAATCAGAAGGGATACAAGGAGGTCAAAGACAGAAAGGCCCCATATATACCAAAATATTCATAGCAGTGTTTTTTATGGTAACAAAAGTAGAAAGTGGGAGCTCTTAGGTTGAAGAATGGCTGAAAGAAATGTGGGATGTGAATGTAATGGGATATTATTCTGCTATAAGAAATGAAGGGGGATGGATTCAGGGAAATATGGGGAGGCATATGAATGAATGTAGAGCAAAAAAAAAAAGGAGAACCAGGAAAACAATAAATACAATAACTATAATGATGCTAATAAAGATAACATTAAAAAGCAGCTAAATTCAGATGAAATGCAAAGGTCAATAATGATCTCAAAGAGGATAGAGAGAGAAGAGAAAGAGGGAGGGGGAGAGCGGGAAAGGTGAAGAGAGGGAGTGGAGAGAGAGAGAGGAGACAGGGACTGGAATTTTGCTTAACTGTTTTTTTTTGTTACTGGGAAGGATTCTATAGTGGGTACGTCAGAAAATGATTGTGAAATTAAAAACAAATGGGCATCGTAAAACAAAGGGGACACAGTAGCAATGTTTAAATCCTCCATTGCTAAGCAAAACATTTAGAAAGAGCCCCTTTGACAATTGTCAAATAAATTCAATTAAACATTCATTATGCATAAGGTACCATACCAGGAGAGATGCAAAGATTAAGAAGATAGTGGTTCTTGCTTTCATGGAGTTTATAATCTGCCAGAGGAAATAAATAGGATCTCTCCTTATGGTAGGGCAGCTAGGTGGTATAGTAGATAAACCACTGGGCCTGAAGTCAGGAGGACCTAAGTTCAAATTTGACCTTAGACACTTACTAGTTGTGTGACCCTAGGCAAGTTGCTTAACCCTGTTTGCCTCAGTTTCCTCATTTGTAAAATGAGCTGGAGAAGGAAAATGGCAAACCGCTCTAGTATCTTTGCCAAGAAAACCCCACAATGAGTCACAAAGAGTAAGACATGACTGAAACGATTCAACAACCACCACTACTTATGGTAGATCCCTGTGAAACCCAGGGAGTTCTGATATAATATACACACACACTTCTGCTTGAATGGTACTTAATAAAGAGTTTATTTTTCTGAATAAATCCAATGGCCCTAACCAGAGCCCCTAATCCTTGGGTGACTCTAGACCACTTAATGCATTGATATGGGAACTCCCAGTGCAGAAACTCCCTTCACCAATGCAATTTGTAACTTCTCTGTAATTTATAGTCTTAAAAGAGTTGTCCAGGGGTAGTAAGAGGTTAAGAGCCTAGCTCAGGGTCACAAAACAATTAAGTGCCTCCATGGGATCTGAACCCCAGGTCTTCCTGACTCCAACTCAGGAATTCTGAGTTGTTAAATAATCCTCCTTAATGCCTCGAAGTAGACTTGAAAATGACCGTTTTTATAAAGACTGTCCTATTTTACTCCCCTGGCTTTATTGCCATATGACTGACCATACAGGCTGTAGTGGCTATTTTCCCAAATCACCTTTTCTGTACAGTCACTTCCCCTACCCCATCATCTCATTACCTCTGAGTTAAAAAGAAAACTTTCTTGTTCAATTCCTGTTTAGCTCTGAATTCATAAAAGGATGTTAAAACTTTAGAGAATGAGAGCATTAACCATTGGTTCCATTAGTGGCAGATGTATCATCTGCAAGACACTTTCAGTCCCCGTTAATTTTTTTTTCTTTTTTGTCAGACAGAATGAAAATATTTTCAGTGAGGTAGGGAAGAGGATTAGCTGACTAATACCTAGGGAGATGTTCAACATCAAGTCAGACACTTTATTCACACAGCTATTCCCATGTGACAGAAAGCTATAAACTAAGCCTGAATCTTTTCTCATGGTTTTGACTTTGAATTAAAACAGTGATTATTTCTGAAAAATCAGATTTGCAAATATATTTTAAAACAGTCACATCAGAGAATGTTTGATATTACTTAAACAGAAGCATATCCTGTCATTATTAAGAGAATTACCAGGAGTGACTGATGTGCTAATAACTGCCTCCATTCACCTTTTCTCATACAGTACTAGGAAGATTCTGATACAAGTTTTAATGTTTGAGCAAATGTAAGGTATGTCTGGGGGCAGCTAGGTGGCATAGGGGATAGAACTCTGGGCTTGGTGTCAGGAAGACTCACCTTCCTGAGTTCAAATCTGGCCTCAGACGCTTACTAGCTGTGTGACCCTGGGTAAAGTTGCTTAACCCAATTTGCCTCAGTTTCTTCATCTGTAATATGAGCTGAAGGAAATGGCAAACCACTCTAATATCTTTGCCAAGAAAACCCCAAATGGTGTCATCAAAAGTCAAACACAAAACAACTGAATAATAATAATGAAAGATATGTCTAACAAATATTAAGGGAGTGCAAATTTCTTTTGTTGGGGAGAGGGGGATGATTTAGTGAAAGTCACTGCATTGAGACCTCTCTGAACTTTGTGTTAGGTTCTTTGTTTGGGAAGAGCTCTGAAAAATATAAATGTTTTGACCAATTCATTCATCTCTTTTCCAAGTAGAGAAAATAATTATGTTTAATTAGGATAACCATGGTGGCATCATCTAAAGGATGCTAGGACTAGAGCTAGAAGTAACCTTAGAGGCCATGAAATTCAACCCCTTCATTTTAGAGATGAGAAAACTAACACCCAGGGAGATGAAGTGAGTTGTCCGAGGTGAGGAAGGGAGTAAGCATCAGAAGTGGGATAGGAACCTGGGTCCTCAAAGCAGGGACTGTCTTTTTATTTGTATCTTTCTTTGTATCTCTAGGACTTCAAACAGTGTCTGGCACAAAAGCAACTGTCTGTTGACTCCAGAGTTAATGTTCTCTCCGCTGTCCCATGTTGCTGAATTCCACTTGACTCCTCTGAAATTAGCAATTCAACTTTATGGTCACTTTAAACATTGGTACCATAATCAAAGGATGATAAGATCCTAGCTTTAGAGCTGGAACTTTAAAGGCCATTGAGTCTAACCCCTTCATTTTACAGATGAAGAAACTGAGACACAAAGAGGTTAACAACTGGGAGTATGGACATTTAAAGCATGCTAATGGTCTACTCTGTATAAGTCTAGACCACTTAACTCATTGCTATGGGAACTGTTAGTGCAGGAACTTTCTCCTTCACCAATGCAGTTAGCAACTTCTCTGTAATTTGGAGACTTTAGAGAGTAAACTAGGCAAAAAACTGGAAATTGAGGGGATGCCCATCAATTGGGGAATGGCTGAACAAGCTGTGGTACATGAATATAATAGAATATTATTGTGCTATAAGAAATGATGAGCAGGCGGATTTCAGGAAAACCTGGAAAGACTTACATGAACTGATGTAGAGTGAAATGAGCAGAACCAGGAGAACATTGTACACAGTAACGGCAACATTGTGTGAAGATCAACTATGAATGACTTAGCTCTTCTCAACAATACAATGACCCAAGACAATTCTAAAGGACTCATGATGGAAAATGCTAACCACCTCCAGAGAAACAACTGATGGACTCTGAATACAAATTGAAGCCTGCCATTTTCACTTTCTTTATTGTGTGTGTGTGTGTGTGTATGTGTGTGTGTTTTCCCTTTCAGTCTGTTTCTTTTTTCACGACATGACTGATATGGAAATATGTTTTGCATGATTGCATATAAATAACCTATATCAAATTGTTCACTCTTTTAGGAAAAGGGAAGGAGAGGGAGGAAGGGAGAAAAATTTGGAACTCAAAATTTTGTAGAAATGAATCTTAAAAATTTTCTTTACATATAATTGGAAAAATAAAGTACTATTTTAGAAAGAGAGAGTAGCCTAGGGGCAGTAGGAGATTAAAAGACTTACACAAAGCTAATGTCTTCATGTGATCTGAATTAGGTCTTCTGTATTTCAACTCAGGAATTCTGAGTTGTTAAGTAATCCTCCTTAATTACTTGAAGTAAACTTGAAAATGACTATTTTTACAAAAATTATACAGATGGTAGAGACAAGATGTCATAGCTGATTAACAGTCAGACATGGAGTCAGGAAAAATGGGTTCGAGTCCAGCTTCTAGCATAGACTGACTGTGTGACCATGGAGAGGTCTCTTTACCTGTCAGTGCCCCAGGCAGCAACACCCAAAGACAATAAATTATAGATGAGTTATTATTTGCATCAGTTAAGGACATTCTACACTGGGAGGTCCCATACCAATGAATTAACAGGTCTAGACGTTTCCTCTCTAAATCTTCATACATATGCTCCCCCCCCCCCAACCCTAGCCAATACAGGCTACTCTACATTACCATACTTTCTTAAGTGTTCATCATCCCAACCATCAAGGACTTTGTATCTTCATGAAAACAAGTCCACTAAAGAGAAATGAATGCTCATTCAGTATTTTGTTCCTTGCTTTAGATCCCAAAGCACCCAATCAACCCTCCTAGCTATGTGCAGGTAAATATAATAATTCTGTATTACATGCTATTGGATCATTTTTAATCTAGCATAAATATCCTCAACTGAGAAAAGAGAGAAATCAATCATCAGAATTCTATTTATACTTCAATTGGATAGCTAATCACTTAAATAGGTTGCTCTTCACCAAAGCTAGTAATGACTCTGTGCACATGAAAATATATTAGAATTTCCCAAAGTATTGAATTTCCCATGGCTTTGCTCATAAGAAGGCTCCCAGGTTCAATAAGTTGTCACATATTGATACCCATGATCAAACTACTGAGGGAATTGTGGGAATTGAGTGAACCACACTCATTCCACCTTGTGTCTCAATTCTGGAGCTCGCTCAGTTCCCTTCCTATTCTATTATGGTCTAGTCCGATTTTTGTCTCGTGAGGAAGCTTTATTCGTTTATGGAAATTGTGAGAAAACTTTATTACATTGTTTAAACCTAGTCCTACATGGCTGGGAATCTGGACCACCTCTACTT